TTCCGTCCAACGACATGCTCGAGCACGTTTCGGTTCGATAAGCACTGCACCTTGCATACCTGGCGGTCTTTGAGGCCACATGTCCTACGCCTCCATCTCCATCTTCACCTGCTTACGCAAGTCGTGCCGCAATCCGGGGCCCAGCGTGTCGCCGGTACCGTTACTGCAACCACCCAGCACCCACCACCCACCGAGCAGCTGCGACAATTGCGTCAATGTCGTAAAACTTTCTCACGTAAGTCAAAAAGCGAGAGTCCCGCTATCTTGTCAGAATCGGCGAATCCCGGCTTATCCTTTATGGCCACTGCAGCTCAGAGATGTATAAATACGAATTTATGGCGGCGTAAAAAATGATTTTTAACGATCGCAGTTATCGCTTGATCGCCGATCCGACAAACAAAAACATTCAAACAATTCAAAAATTTACGCTGCCAAGATCAAGGGGCCGCGTGCCGCCCACCTGCCACGCCCACAGCCTGGATAATGGACAGCAGCAGCACAGTGTCTATAAATATGTGTTCGTATCAATGCTGCCAAACAAACGGTGACGAAAGCAAAAATGTCTTTGTGACGTCAATGCCGAAGTATCACATGGTCTTAGTTCTGCGAGGGCGATAAATTCGGGTAATTTCTTTTGTTGCGGGGCGATAGCTGTACGAGTCTGACGGATTGACCCAGTAGCTCTATAGATATGGTTAAACATACATATGTATATGTATCGTGTAGATATTTCAGGCGGTAAACAAGAATTGCGTACTCGCGGGAAACTTTTTTCCCAGACATCGGTTTATAAGATTATATTTCTAAGAATATTTCGATTTATTTTAGAATATCCGGTAGAGGAATCATATGTTTGCTTATGTTAATGCATTTAGATATGTTAGGATCCAGTAGATTGTTGAAATGTACTTTAAGTTCTACAGATTTAAGTTGACTGGAAAATATAACTTTTAAAAATGTCTATAAATTACATAAGTTTTGTTAATTAATTTTAATAATAAAGGGTCATAAATTCACATTATGATTCGAATTTTAACAAAGAAATTTAGAATTGGTTGAATGGTTTTCAAGCTTAGAACTCTAAATCTGTGAGTTAAAGGTTACATCCTAGATATGGGTGACCGGTTACCATTTATTTTGTTTGTTAAAAAGTCTCTGAAATAATCATTTTAAAATATTCTTTGACCAAACAAACTTGCTAGCCAAACTCCTATGTACTTTTATTAAAATATGAAAAATCTTCAGTTACAGAGACTAAAGTTTTAAAACTTTCCTCTTATTGATTAAGTAAATATGTAAACAAAATATTGTATAACAGAGAAAACCTAATGAATTCTGTTATTCTATAGTTCCTGTACAAATTTCCAAAGTTATAATACTTTGAGCTAATCACCATGCTTAATATTAAATTAAACATTACATTAATAAAAGGCAACAATCTGCTGGGTTTCAGAAATTTCAAGAATTCAGGGCTGTTTGGCTTCCCAAATCGTACAGTCACCAAAATTGTTCACACTCAAGCGAGTCCAATGTACTCAGAACATATTACTTGTCCAAATTTATCCAATCAACATCACAGCCAGAACCTAACCCGAAACCATATCAGAGTTTGCTATTGACACAAAAAGGAATTATCGCAAAACGTGATAATCGCCAACATGTGACTATCATATCACGTTTTCGCTTTCATAACTCGGCATTAATGTGTCCGCAAATGTTATGGCCTGGCAACAAGCAAATGTTTATCGTCGCTGCGACAATCTGAAAAAAAATGCTGAGAAAACAACAAATTGTTTCAGCATATGGAAGAACACTTCTGGCAGAGAAAGTGACTAAACCAACAACAGAAAACAGGTGCAAAAACAAAAACTGATCATTAAATATGGCGAATTACTATATGTGTGTCTTATCAGTTACGTTCAATATGACTTGTAGTGCCGAGGCGAAAACAAATTCAAGGTTCGCCAAGGGGAGCCCGTCTGCTCCCTAGGGAGACCCACTTTCTCGTCGATAAGTGGACCTTATCTCGGACTTATCACTAATTGCTGTTTACATGGCTTTAAACAAACGCTTTGGGCCACAAGTAGTTGGGGTTGGCAGCCCGCCAGGCTGAGTGATGGCCCCAACTCGACAGTGACTTCGTCATTATCATTATCGTCTGCGGCGCATTAGCATGGCTCCAAAAATAACATGGAGTGTTAAAAATAACTTGTCGCCTTTGCTAAAAATACCAGCGAGCGACCACAATAACAAATATTCTGCATAAATATCAAGGCAAATAATTGTCGGAAAATTTGTATCAGCAGTATTGTTGTTGTTTTGCAGTTTTCATTGTATTTATCTGGGCTTTTTTTACTGTTCTTATCGGTACTTCCAAGGAAAAATAAATTTAGGCGACAGAAAGTGCCGTTGTTTGCCTGCCACTTAACGGCTTGATGGGGGGAACTACCGGACAGACATTTCCATTTATGGCCAAGGTAGGCCCTGGCCAAGAGGCGGGATGACTTATTTACGACTCGTTTGTCAAATCTGCTGGAGATTGCGATTATGATTGGGATTCCTGGCGAAATAATATAAGTCAACTTGCTAAAAAGTGATAAAAAAAAACTTTGATTGGGGAAGTAATCAATTAGGTTTGTTTGCGGAAGGAAGGTCTTTGTGGAGATAATACCAACTATCCAAAGTATTATCAGGCGCCTTATTAAGGTTTATCATAAACAATCTAGAGTAAGTTTATACATAAATTATTATACATATTTGCACATACTTAAGCAATAAACTCAAAGATTTTTAAGCAATCTGGAAATATTTTAGCTTCCCAACCAAAACAAATATAAATAAATTTCTATATTTCCCAGAATGAATGCATCTCATGGTATTCATATCTGAATATTTAAAACAATTTGCAGGAATCCCATGTAATTTGTATTTATTTATTCAGATGATGGAAAGAATCTGACCACGGGTCGGTATTCAATTAAGAGAATTATTGAAATATTTCCTATTTCGGGGAATTCAATTCGAAAGGTGTTTTCGCCAGTCACTACCCGTATATTGTTCCATTGTGGGCCTGCTGAAATAATGTAAACACAAGCCTCAGATTTGCCTTTTGGCGGTTTCTATAAATATGCACGCATAATTCGCACATAGCCGGAAAGAAACTGCGCACTTTGCTTTGGCATGGAATGGCCCACATCCCAAATGTGGCGGAACAAGGCCAAATCGGCCTTTATCAACGACCGGAGCGTAACCCCATTGTTTGGACCCGTCTAGCCGTGCCAAAGCCGAAAGTTGCATCAGCCAAACATCAGTCACTTATTGATATAACATCGATTGGCAACAGATAAGCCATCGATACACAGAGATAAAGATCAGGGATAGATATTATCTGTTCAATTTTTCATAACCAAACAGTCTTTTAGATATTACTTTCTTATCTAACTTTTATAAATATGTCTTATTTATATATTCCGTTAAATTCCGTTAAAAGAATCAAAGTGAAAGTTTACTTTTGAGTTTTTAAAATCAAACTAAGCTAAGATCGCAAAGAAAAGACAATAATATTATAACAAAATGTTTTAACTATTTTGTCGTTGATATTGCTATTTTATACTCTTCAAAATAAAAAGCGTTTTGTTTATATTTTCTCTCTGTGTAGGAGGAAACATACTCCCCTTCAAACTTTGGACCCGCCGGCAATAATCATGTGAGCTTTCCAGTGGCAGAATTAGCAAGTGTTCCGCCCCCCCTAACTGTGATTCATAGAGCGAACTTTGGAACCTGCAGACAACGCATTCTTCAAACACGACAGATCTTCTGTAACCGTCTTATCAAGCGTTTTTGCCACCAGCGAAGTAGATACCGGATGCTGCTCTATATATGGCCATATTCGTACCAATAGAACATCTCTGGCGCCACATTAGTCACTCTCACGTTACTCATACGCCACGTAACCCTCCCCGACAGCACCTACAGCGAAATCTTATCGGCGCGTCGAGGGAGTACGGTAATTTCATCAATTCCAGCACCGATTAACGGTCGGGGCGACCGTTCGATTTGCGATTTGCGATAGGTCAGTGAGGACGCTTGTGGGCGCTAAGTGGACTGCGTTCCGTATAAATTTGTAGAGCATTTTCATAAGCCTAAGGCTACATATATCGGATTTATGGAGATTTGTGTAACGGGCCTAAAAAAATGCTGCATTCGTATTCCTGATCAGGGTCAATAGCGGAGTTTGTATAAACAGCTAGAAGTGTGACACCATTTGTGCTAGAGTTACCAAATTTGTTATGCAGATTAGATGGCACTGGCGGGGCCTTATTTTGAGATAAAGCTACTCTTTCCAAACGAAAATACAAAATATTACCCGCAATTATCAGTATAAAGCCATGCCCTTTGAGAGAGTGTTTAATCTTAGATGGGTCTGTGCCTCTGCCAAGTCTCAAACTTATTCGATTGATAATTATATTCACAAGAGATTAATAAATTGATGGGTAGGGTATCCCCTAGCTGGGATGCTCCTTAGGGTATAACACCAACTTGTTATTTATGCGTCAAGTGCTAAGAACTGAATCGATCAGAATCGGATTCGAGCGGATCAGATAACATCTTCATCTGTGCCAGATTGCGGCGCAATTTTAGCATTTTATGCGCATTCTGATCGACCGACAATCTGGCGACTTGAATTAGCATCCCAGCGTTCTATAACTGTAAAGTCGAGAAAGCCATTTCCTTTGTTCCACCCCGATCCCCGCCTCGGTCCCGCCCAGAGGTGCCCTGCGTGCACACCACGTTCCGTTCCGTTTGTGTTGTTTCTCAACTGAATGCATTTTGAATCGGTTTCGGGATTCGGAGTGAATCGCTTAAGCTATACAGGTGTACGAGTATGTGTATGAGTGGTGTTATGCGAATGGGTGAAACTGTGCAGGGTGTGTGTGTGTGGGCTAACCTAAGGCAATGCAAGTGATTCGGATTCGGATGCAGACTGGCAGGTCTTCTCTTTAGTGCTGGCAGTCGGGGCCCGTCCAGGGGTTCTTCAGGTTGGCCAGGCGCAGCTGCTCCAGGGCGATCTCATGGGCGCGGAAGTGCTCCTTGGTGGCCTTGTCCAATTCGCTGGTGGAGCTGGTACTGTAGCTGGCTTCCTGCTTCAGCTTGGAGAGGATGGGAATGGGCAGGGGCTGCAGTAGCTGCGGCTGAGGAGTGTACTTCACCAGGAAGGGATTAGGACTGCTGCTGATGGGGTCTGCCGGAGATGTCTGGATTTCACTTGGTTGATTGGTCTGGATGCGCAGGAAGAAGCCATTCTGCACAGACTGCTGCTGGGTCACAATGTTGGGCTGAGACTGAGGCTGGGGCTGCGCCTGAGCCAGGTTATTGATGATCTTGAACTGGTCCGCTTTGCGCAGGTACTCTGGAGCTCCCTTCTCGTAGCTGGTGGTCACCTTTAGCTGGCTGAGCTCTTGCTGCTCGGCTTGGCGCTCGCTCTCCAGTCGCTGTCGATCCTCAAGCTCGATTTTAAGACGCTCAGCCTCAAGCAGACGGGTTTCCTCGCGCATGCGCTCTGCCTCCCTCTGGCGCTCAAGCTCGGCCTCCTTTTCCTCCTGCCTACGCAACTCCAGCTCCTGCAGCCGCTCGCTGTCCCGCTCACGCTCTTCCAGGCGAATCAGGTCCGCAATGTCGGCCACCTTGTCTTCGGCCTTCAGCTTAGCCTGGTTCAGGAGGAGCAGATGCTGCTCGCGAGCCAACTTTACCTCGGGGGTGTCCTGGATGGGCTGCGGACCCTCGAGCTGGCCAATAGAGCTCTTCACAATCTGAGGAGCCTGGGGAGCGAAGAGGGGAATGGGTGCGATGGGAATCAAGGGCTGCTGCTGTGTGTCAATGGGTTGTCGCAGGATGGCTTCGTTGAATTGCTTAAGGTGCTCCTCACGGGCTCGCTTCACTTCAGGCGTCTCCTCAATGGGCTGAAGAGGCTGCTGCTGATCCCGCAAGGTGATGGACTCAGGTTGAATAGGTGTCGTCTTCAAAATGGGCTCCTCGGGCGCCGCCGGCTGACGGAGCAAGGCCTCATTGTACTGCTTGAGGTGCTCCTCACGAGCCCGCTTCACCTCCGGAGTCTCCTCAATGGGTTGTGGAGCCTGCTGATCTTGGATGGCGGATGTCTTGATAAATATCTGGGGCTGGGTAATCGTTGTGGCGGTCTGGATAATTGGCTGAGGCTGAGGCTCGGCCGCAAATGGCTGCTGAATACCAGGGATACTCTTCACGATAGGGGCTTCCTGGGCAGGCTGCCGGAGAAGGGCCTCGTTGAACTGCTTGAGGTGTTCCTGGCGGGCCAGTTTAACCTCCGGAGTCTCCTCCACGGGCTGCGGAGCGGGGAGCGATGCCGTCTTGAGCAGCAGATTGTCCTGACCGGGGCCAAACTGTCCGTAGGAGTGGGTCTGGGGCGACGCAATGGGTTGGGCCACCTGGGGCGTCGAGGTCTTCACCAAAACTTGTTGCTGACCATAGATTAATGGCACGTCCTGCTTCTGGAACTGTCCGAGCTGCTGCTGGGCCTGTTCAGCGCGCAACACCTCCAGTCTGGCCTCGTTCCAGATGCGAAGCTGCTCGTCGCGGGCTCGCTGGACTTCGGGACTCAGTCCCGGAACAGCTTCGAAGGCTGAGAACTTGACGATTTGCTCAAGGGGCTTAAACTGGGCAAGCATGCTGTCGCTGGGCTTCAGTCCCTGGGCCTTTAGACGCTCCAGTTCCTGGCGCATTGCCTGGTAACGTTGCTCGCACCAGGCGCGGAAGAGGGCGACTTGCTGGCTCTCCTGCTCCTGACCGGACCGTATCAGACTGGCGGTTGAGGTGGCCAGGTCACGGATTCCGTTTAGGGGCTCCGGGTAATTGTAGGCCAGCAGCCGCTCCGCTCCTGTACCGTCGTAGTAGCGAACGTAGCCCTGGGCCAGACCACTGACCACGGGGAACTCACCGCGGGCCGGCGCGTAGGCCACCAGCTGGGGATGTGGCTGCGGCAGCGGAAGCGTCCGGACAACGGAGAAGGCTCTGGCAGAGCCCAAGGCCAGCAGGCCGATCAGGAAGAGACGCATGACTTGGCGTGGGGGCAGCGACTGGTAGGACTTCTGGGGCTCCGGTGATGCTCCAAGACTTCGCTACGACTTCGACTGCTGATGCTGGAAGACTGTTGCGGTGGTGGCCCTTGGCCAAGGGCTTTTATACCTGCGTGCCGGCGAGTGGAAAAGAACCGCAAGTAGATGTGGATGTGGATGTCCTTGGGCCAACCGTTGGCTCTACAGGATGCTTCAATAAATATTCTGTTACCCTAGGTCGCCGGGGTTCTTTATCTCCAACTTAATTGGCTGCCCTCCTCCCCGATAGCCCTTCCTCCCAGGACGGGACAGGACCAGCCTTCGCTTGGCTTCTTCCGTTATGCTTCAAGGTTAAGCCTGGTTTTATTTTTAGCCAGTCTGCTGGGAATTTATGGCCTTTGGCTTTGCCCAAGCGAGTGAAGGGACTTGACTGGACCCGGACCCAGGGGCCCAATCGACTATCGATTGATCAATGACACGCTCTATGCGCGGGATAATTATTTAAATTTGTCAAAACTCAAAGGCTTTGGCTACCTGGTTCCTACCCCTTCCTGATTCCAGTATCCAGTTGCCAAATACGACGACGAGTGACAGGAGTTAATTTATATTTAGTCGCAGCCACTTTTGTACAGTCGCCGTCTGGTCGCGCCTGAAATGTACGATGGGCCAGGGACAGAAGGGAGAAAGGAGCGGAGTAATGCCCGACTTGGGAGCCCCTTCCTCAGGACCGGTTTCCCTGCCCGACCGCGGCTCAATAAATTCAAGTTAATTCCAGTCGGCGCCGTTATATGGCCCATGCAAGGCGCTGGGCAGAGGAGGCAAATGTGCAATAAGGTTAAACAATGTCAATCAGGCAAATTATATCATTTCCCGCACATTTTTGTGGCTTTTTCAGCTGCAGGCATCGCAAACTCCGGATCATCAGCTTTTTTGTTTCTCACACACACACAAAGAAATGCGAGAAGAGGCTCGCTGGGTAGTAGAGAGGAGTTAACGCATTCCTGGCCCGACTTTTATATATATAAATGGACATCTGATCTCAGGGGAAATACTTTTGTACACGAAGCTGAATCATATCTCGTTGGTCCGGACATAAATATAAAGAACCAACCAGTCATGACTCAAAAAAATTCTATAGTTTAATATGTTTAAATCGAATATGAAAGCGAAAAAGTCAAGAGATTACTACCATTAGACAAGCTTCTCTGTGACTTTTTTATAAACTTAACGAGAAACAGCCGAAATAATGTCTTGGCTGGAGTTATCTCTTGCGAACATTAACTTATCTGGCCAGTGTTGATTATTTGCCGAGCTATGGCTGTTTCCAGTCAGATGGAAAGCACTCATTGATCACATGCTGGCCCAATTACCTGCTCCAATTGGCGAACTTGGCTTCAAGATTCACCTTGGCAGCTCTAGAGGTTTTTCAAATTTCGCACTCTGAGGTAATAAGCATACCTCGGAAGTCACACGTAAGCCTCGTCAGGAGGGCAGCCACTTTCCCAAGCTGAGCAATTTCATAACTCGTCTTTGAGAGATCTTTGTGATCTTGTTGCCAGGCCCAAGGGGAAAGCATCTAGTATAGATATCTTTCTCTCTTGAACTGACCACAGTCACGTTGGCTCATGTGACGTATGTATGTAGATCCGATGATGGGGCTTCTAGATGCTCATGATCACCAGATGGAACATTTGCCTTTTTCGGGCGCGTGCGTCAGGAACAATTGATTCTTTAATGATTCTGTTGTCCCCGGTCGTTCGATATCATTGAATGGAGACGGAGGCACGTCCGCGCTAATTAAAGCAGATCAAAGTGCTTACTGCTGGCTAGCCACGTTTTCGCTTATCTTATCTGCCGCGAAGAGTGATTTTGCATGCCAAACTCTGGCAAATGCGGTTCGGTGGCGTATACGCAATCCGCAAACGCTGCATACATCAGGTGTTAATTGGGCGCTGATTAGCGCGTCCCGGTGGTTCATTAAGATGTCTGAACATGGTGTGCCATCTCATCACGCCATCGGCAGATACAGGTAGAGAAAAACGCATTGTCAGTGCTGATATATGTATCTATTACAACTATTACATTATATTACATTTGTTATTTATAGGGGTTTTAATAAAGATAGAATAAAGATAATAATATAATAAATAATACATAAATAAAATCAAATAAGCAAGACTCGCTTTAGTTTTGTTCTGTGTACCCCCTGACTTGGCTGCTGCCTGCTTTTCCGGATCACCTGTCGACGGATCTCTCTCGTGAGCCAATAAATTCCAATGTCTGAGGCACAGCTGCTTGGCAACGAAAGCGATGGCCAGGTGAGGCGAAGCGACAAAGGTTTATGGCCAACAAACGCACTTGAACCGCTCGCAGTTCCGCCGAAAATTCCAAAGCCCCAATAACCGGAGCTCGACGATGTCTTTTCATCTTTTACGGGGTTATTCACGGTGCACGTTGGTTAAATCACGTGCGACTAGCTGCGACCAAATAACCCAAGACGTCATTTCGGCTGCGTGCAAATTTAAATTAATTTACCAGCGAAAACTCAATAACAGTCCAATCGCGGTCTGAATGAACTACGTTTTTGCTATTTTCGTATTTCATTTAATCGTTCACAAACGTCAGCAAAAAATATATTTCTCCCAAAGCAAATATTTTTGCGTTGAACTGAAATAACAAAAAATACAATCGTTAAACTACGATCAAAATCGCTGTGAAGCTTATGGGGAGGCTCACATTAATTGGAGCGACACACCAGATCAAATTCAATAACAAACTAAATTCAGGCAATTGGCAGAACAAAACTACTTAATATTTAAGAATTTTACCCCTAAACATTAGCAAATAAGATGCTTTTCCCTTTTAAATACCTTGAAAGAGTCTTGAAGAAACCTGAAACCCGAACAAATCCTGGTATGTGGAGCAGGAGCTTGAACTTTGCGCAAAGGTTTTCTCCTCATAATTTGATGCCGGCCCTCGTTGTGGAGCCAACATCAAGGCCATTTATTTTCAAACCCCTATATTCTTTTTTTAAACTCTCTTGTATCCGATTCGGAGCACCGTCTTTGACGTCACATGGCCCCACATAAAGAAACGAGTTTCGGGGAACTTCCCGCGCACTCAGTTCCGTTTGAAGGGGCCAAATAGATAGTAATTATGTGCGTAATAAAAACATCAATTAGAGCGCCAACGCAATGACCTACACCTGGCACTTGGAACTTGGCCAACATGCACTAGTGAGTGACCGGTGGTCACTCGTCGAACATGGCGAGCGCAAGCAAACACAACAGTCGATAAACTTCAGACACTGACAGCCGTTAATTTGCATTAATAATTAAGGCCAACAGCTGGCGATTTTGGGCGTTCTATCATCTACAGTTAAGCTGAAATTGAGTTGTTTAATAGCCCCCCCGGATCCCCCATCAAACGGTAGCCATTCCACTGTCGTCTGACGGCTTTAAGCCGGGCTTAGCACTTGATTTGTGCATTGCGCCTCAAACACAATTGCCAGCCGTTTGTGTATTTTCCAAGTCTAAGCACGTTAAAAATGCGTAACGAATATTTCAAGATTTATTTGAACAAACAACTCACTTTGTTTATGCTTTGCATTGACTCTCTGTTCAATCTTTCGCTCAATCTTATGCTTTAATGTTTGTCTTTTAAATTAATTGGCCTAATCATGTTTCTGGGCCGTGACTGGTGACTCGTAAACTGTTTGAGTGTCAAAGAATACGCCGTCAGGTGGTAAGGATGAATACTTAGGATCAGAAACACAAGAGTGCCCTAATTCATTCATTTATTCTTAAAAATTTAGAAAATCATTTAAAATTAAATTAAAATATTCAACTATTTATTTAGATTCTTCTAATAATTTTATATAGACCAATGCAAGTCCTTCAAACCTACGGAATAACTGTTTTACGAGATGAATATTCAGGATCAGAAACACAAGAAGAGTGCCGTAAATAAGATATTAAAATTTTAGTTCATTATAATTTCATTTAGTTTCTGCTAATAATGTAATTTAAATCGTAATGTGGACGTTGCCAACCTTAGTTGAAGCCAGTAGAATGACACTAAAACTGCAAGTCCTTCAAAACTACAGAATAACTGTTGTACGAGGCAAGCGGCTAATAAAATCGAAAGTCAATTGACCAGAGCTTTTCAGTGCATCACGTGGCTAAAACTGTAAAACAAAACATCTGCCCGGGTGATAATTGATGTGCGGAATATGACACTGTTAAGGGGAGCTTCTCCGAGCTCTGGTGAATGACCTGGGTAATCAAAATCAAAAAATAAATGTAAGTCAATTCCTCTCGAACTTCACTGACGCACTTTTGGTGACAATTGCGAAATGAGGCAGTTAAAACTGTAGGCCAGTGGATGTGCAGTGGCTACCAAACTGCACGGTTGAACTTTTTTGTTTAAAACATTTATTTTTCTGCATTTAATTTACCATTAAGTTTAAACAATATTCAATCATGTTAAGGGCAAAGGTGGTGGTGTCTGGGGTAAGTGTGTGGTGGAGGATTCTTGGGGGTCGGGGCGTTAGGGTTTTGGGCTTAACTACTTTCAATACTTAATTGTCTACGCTTTCCACTTAGGCATACGATTTTGTTTCATTAATTACACACAGTAATTATAATAATAGTCATAATAGTAGTCCTCATCTTCGTAATACATCATAATAATCAAATATATATAATATGTTATTTGTTCATGGGAAATCAAGACGAACACGTACACTATAGCATATGGAGATATATCGGCTTATCGCACTCACACACATCTATATCTATACAGTTTGTAATCGATTCCTATGCTCTATATAGCGGTTTAAGTTTTTACACGATCTTTAACTTGGGATGCACAATTGCTTAGCTTTTTTTTCGCTTAAAACTATTTAACTTAAACATTGATTTGATTTCGCGTGAAACGTCTTGAGGTTATATATTCCATGTGGGCGGCCACAGCGACCAAATAATATACAGAATAGCTTCGATAACTTTGCGTATTACAAAAACTGTACATAATGAATGGTTTCCCTGGTGACTTGGCCAACAAACGAAAATCAAAGACACTTGCAGTGCAAACTGGAAATTCGCCAACGAAATACTCTAATTAATGGAGGGCCTTTTTCAACATTGTCCACGTCGTCTATCTTCGAGCATCAAGTAACAAGAAACGAGATATAAAAATACGAGGGATCTCTAGGTGGCCTACAAGTGCAGTCGGGCCATCAGCTTTCACATGATGGGATCGGGCCCTTGGCCCTCCAAGTCCGAGACCTGGCTCTGGTAGTGCAGCGCATCCTGGTACGCCTTCTTCACCGCCTTCCGCTCTGCCGGCTTCCGCGACTCAACCAACTTCTGCTGGTCCAGCTGCTTGTCGATCCCGAGGATGTCCAGCTTGTTGGCAGGCAGCCACTGCCAGGTGCGCTTCACGTCAAAGAACAGGACCAGGAACACGATGTCGTCCATGCAGTTCTTGCGCAGCGCAAGCACATCGGTGGGCGGAGCGGGCAGGGGAACGCCATTGTAAACGAATCCCTTGGGCGTCTTGGGGTCGAGAATGAGAGCGGGATACCAGGGGTATCCTCGGCACTTTGCCCACACCAGCTGCAGCGGCTCCAGCGTTGGTTTCTGGCCATGGGCGTGAGAGTTATTGTGCCGATCCGAGCATAAGCTATCCTCGCCATGCCTGCTTCGATTATTATTCGTCGTCGTGGTGGTGGTGGTGGTAACAGCCGCCATCGTGTTACGCCTCGCCTTTATGCTGTTGACCAATGGCGAGGCATTCGGAGTGGCCGAGCGCAGCTTGCCGGCCCTCCGCAACAGAGGCGGCGGAGTGGCCGTGGAGCTGGTGGACTCGCTGAGATTGCTACGCCGCTTGCCGCGACCCCGTGCCGCTGACAGAGATGCTCCTCGTGCCATTGCCGATGGCGTGGGTGTGCTGCGCTTGGTTAGCCTCGGCGCCTTACCCTGCCGCGCACTAAGTGGCCGCTCCTCATCTTCGTCGTCGTCGTCACTGGAGCTGCCGCCACTTCCTCCGCTACTGCTGCTGATGGCCATGTTCCCATTGTTGTTCCCCTGGGTGTGGTTGAGACTCGCATGCTGCATGTCCATAGCGTCTGTGGTTCCATCCTGCGAGGTGGACTCCCTCTCCTCACTGCGGCTTCTTCCGCCGTCTCCGTCCGCATCGCCGTCGCTGGCCTCGTCGCTGTCAAAGTCAGAGCAGCTGCCCGACATGCTAAAGTCTGAGCAGCTGCTGCACGGACTGCTCGACTGCGAGGGCGCATCATCACTGTCGCTAACATCCCGCTGATTGTTGGCTCGATACACCCGAAAGCTGTCGGGGATGCGCTCGAAGGGCAGGGGATCGGGCAAGGGCAGTGCCACCGCCGGATTGGGCGATTTCTTTGGCGACATGGAGGCACTGTGCCTTAGCTCTGGCAAGCGACGATATCGACCCGGCCTCTTGGGCGACTTGCCGCCCATACTCATGGCCAGCTTACTGCTGATCGACAGGGCGGTGGAGGCCAGGCTAGCCGCTGCTGCTGCTCCGGCCGACGACGATCCACCCACTGGTGCTGCTGCCGACGTGAGGGCTCCACTGCCACTAGTGCTAGTGCTGTTCTGCGTCAACCCGAACCCGGAGTTAGAGGGCGGAGCTGCAGCCAGGATATGGTTTAAGGTGCCCGGCGTACTGGAGGCGGCTGTGGCAGCCGTGGTGGCGGAGGACGAGCTGCCGCTGGTGGACTGAGTGTTGGAGGACTGCGAGTTCTGATGCTCCTCCTTCACGGGCGTCGTCAAGGGTTCAGAGGGTCGCTTGAGCGCCGCCTGAGACTTGCGGGTTAGCAATATGGCCGTTCTGGAAGGATTACAGGGATTAGGTATGGGTATAATGGTGTAAAGTGTAAAGACTTTTATAATGAACTTACCTCCGATTAATCCCCACTGGGGAGCTACTGTTGTTGAGACTCTTGATAGGGCTGCAGGGCGGCGTTTGCGTAGAGTTGAGCAAATCCTTGGACACTGTATCCTCTCCATCAGCCTCGGCCATGGAGTCGTCATCAGAGTCGTCTTCTTCATCGTCGTCATCGTGCTCCACGTCCATATCAATGGCGCTGCTGTTCAAACGCTTGCGCGTGCGCTTCTTAATGGGCGAAGCCCCCACCGCATCCTCCTCGTCGCTTTGGGATTGGTTAGCGTGGGATGAGTAACGCTGCAAAGTAAGTTTTATCAAGGGATGAGATTGACAGGTAAGGATCAACGGAAAATATGAGAACTCACTGCGGCAAAGCGCGCCTTTTGAAGACTCTTGCGCATCCGTGTGATTTCCAAGCGGATCTGCTTGATCTTCTTGGTGCGGTAACTGGGATTCTTCAACACCTGTGACTTGTCGGCGAGAATCAGCAATTTCTGGACAACATCTTCGCTGGCCGGCGCCGACAGAAGCTGGCGAAGCTCCTGCTCGACTTCCGCCTCCACGTGATCAACGTGCGAGCGCTGCGTCCGCTCCAGAAGGCCATCCCGCTGCAGTTCCTTGCGCAGCTGGACAAAAAGTGGCGCCGCCTGATCGCGCATCCGTATGCCTGCGCGATAAAACACCGTGTCCTTGTTGTTGTACGCCAGACAGTTCTGTATCATCAGATCAAAGTCCGCCTCCAGCTGCTCCAGTGACGTGTACTGGCATTCCTTTAGCCTCAGCCGCATCGTGCCCAGATCCATGGGCTGCTTTACAATGTCTGTGTAGTCGGGCACCTCACTGGTGTCCACCGGCTCGCGGAATATTTCCATGGTATCACGCGCCTCCAGCGAGTCCAGCAACTTGCCCAACGCCGACTCCAGCGGATTAAGCTGCAGCATTACCACCTCCTCGGAGATGCGCACAAAGGCCACCTTTAGCTTCTCTCGCTTTCGCACCAGCTCGCACAGCAGGCGCGCCCGCTCCAGATCTTGGCGCAGGCACTGCCAGTACTTGAGTTGTCGGTAAAGTTCACCCGTGTCCGGTGATCCCTCGATGCCGTTGCGCTGGATCACGCCATGGTTATTGCCCTGGCTCTGCAATCGTCGCAGCAGCGGCACGCCGTTGCGGTAGTGCCGCTTGAGCGTCCAGTACGCAATAATGCGGTCAAGGAACTCCTTCTTGCGCTGCATCGTCACCATGGTGGCAATCTCCTGGACGCGGTCGGGCGGAATCGTCGGAATGAGCACCACCGGCGCCGTCGAGCGCTTCTTGGCCAGAGCTTTGCGGGCTTCTCGCATCTTGTGGCGCGTGTCCTCAAAGTCCGGGACGTTCATCTTAAGCTTGGCGTCCGCTGGCGTGTGGGAGTGGCAGTAGGCAAACTTCTGTACGTGCATGGAGGAATCATTATGGCCGTCCTTAATCGTGTCCATGGTCATGTAGAGGCCCGCCTGCTGGGCGCAGGTGACGTGGAAAGCGGCATAACAGCTGTGCCTGTGGCACTGAATGCACGCGCCCAGGCCCTTCTCCTTGCACACGTAGCAGGTGAGCCGCCAACGGGCAGGGGGAATGGTCTCAATGGAATCTGAGGAACAAAAAAACACCCATTAGTTGATCTCTTAGCGAGAATAGATGAAAGAACTACGCACCTATAGGCTCCAGGAAGACGGTGTTGGCAAACCGAACTTCCGGTATCCACAGGGCACACACAACGTGCGCCCACTGGCCGTGATCCGTCTGCTTGAAGGCGCCGCCTGCATTCGGACAGAGCACACAGTTCACGGGCTTGCTGGGCGACTGCAGGCAGCGCCGGCACAGCCACTGGCCCTCGGGGATGTACGGCACGCCATAGCAGTCCTGATGCACCGCCAGGTTGCACATGTCGCAGAAGAGTATCACGTTCGTGTTCTGGCACTCGCCGTCCAGGCAAATGCAGCAGACGGCGTCGTCGTCCACCTCGACGCCAGTCGGTGTGCCGTTGGCCGCTGCCTGGAAATGCGACTCCTTCTCTAGCCTGTCCATCAGCAGCTCCATGGTGTCAATGCCAACGGCGTTGAGGCCTAGCCGCTGCCGCTCCTCGTTCATGTGCTCCAGCCAGGCGGAGTCCTCCTCGTCCACGTCGTATTCCACCTCGCCGTCCAGCTCCTCCAGCGACTTCTCGATAAAGCGGTAGTAGGCCAGCGGCCGCGGCGGGGCATCAGGCACTCGGTAGTCCGGAATCTCGGCCACCCTCGCGACAGGCACCTGGACTCGAGCCCAAGGTGCGTTCTCCTCTAGTGGCGGGGCGTCAGCGTTCAGGATGCAGCCCCTGGTAACCAGGGCGGCAAACTCCTCGTCCTCCACGACCGGCAGGGCATCGTCGATGCCCAGGCGCACGCTCTTTCCGTCAAGATTAAACGTCACTGTAGCCTCCTCCTCGTTGTAGGCAACCAGCGATTCGGGATTGGCGTACAGCCGCCCGGCACCTCCTCCTGCTGTTCCTCCTCCTCCGGCGCCACCGCCTGCCGAGGAGCAGCCATTCTTGGCGTCTGACGCACCGCTGCCGGCCTGAGGCTGCTCCTTGAGGGGGCGAGGCGTCGAGTGGTGTGCGCCGGAGCGGGAGCGCGCCTTTTTCCGGCTCGGCGTCAGCACAGGCGTGAGGGGCTGGGGATTGTCGTGGTCGTACTTCATCAAATGGTACTGGAGGCCCATGATCGTCTTGTAGCTGCGATCGCAGCCGCGCACGGGACAGGCGAACGGGGGCTGGGCCTGTTGGCTCTTCACGCCCTTGCAGTACTCCACGGCGTCGAAGTCGAGCCCCATGGCGGGATCTGAGGGATCGGCGGGATCCGCTGCAGCTGCTCAATCGCAGGGCGCAAGTCGCAAATCGCGGGCGATGCGATGGCGGGGCTTCTCGGGGATTCGCGTTAGCGGGGCACAGTGTCTACTCCGCGGCACGGCTGCTCGTTCGTGTGTACATCCCACGGAGGCGTAAATAAACGTGAAATATAAATGAAAACTCAGTTCTTAGCCTGTTCTTTAGCTTTTTTTAGCATTATTTTGGCCGATAGGCCAATCTGACCAACTGTTCTGAAAAGATGTGCTAGGGATGGGCTATGTGGCCAGCTCGCCATGGCGATACTATCGTCGTGGGTCGTACCCAACACTGGCAGAGGTGGCCAAGGTATTGTCGCTTTATTGAAGGGGCGGGCCTCAAAAAAATATTCGTCTCAGTATTTTTTTTATTGTTCTTATTTATTCTCTACAACTGAAAATCATTTGTCGTCACATTCAGCTTATAATGCTGGTTCTGGAGTGCTTTGCAACACGGGCTCTTAGAGATGGTGGTTACTTGAACTAGTTGGAACTGGTTCTCTGCCGCCTGATATTTCAGGTTTGCAAACTTCGTAAAACCAGTTTTACACGTTTGAATGTTGTCAGCGATAATGAACACAATTTGGACATAGCGATTCCGCTTTTAGTTTCGCCGTCTGAAGCAGTTTAATTGAGTTTGTTATTTTGCGCGGGAACATCTTGTCAGCGGCAGTGTTAAAAATCGCCGAAGGAAGTGCTGTTCTCGCTAGAGCTGGCAAAAAAACGATATTTCCATTATCGATTTTTCAATACTATCGATTTTTTTTTTTAAATATATGGGCACTTCCACAGAAAAGTTCACCGCCGCGTTGTGAATGTTATAAAATAAAATTTGTTGGTTTAATTATGACATTTTAATTAATGTAACTTCTTGTACAAATAAAAAAATATATATAATTCTACCGAAAAATGCTCGACTTAGCTCGACTTAGCTGTTGCTGCTGTTCAAGAATATATACCTCCTTTGCAACGAATACTTTTGCGACTCACTGTATACAGTTTAGACATATACGCCGCCGCGCCACGCCGCCGCCGCCGCCGATTTTTGCCTTATTTGACGCGCCGCCGCCAAATTATGAAAATAGCGGCGCGCGGCGGCGCGCCGCTGGTGCGGCATCGGCGCAGCTTCAGCGCGGCCTTCAGTGTCATTGTTCTTTATAAAACTTAAAAAAAAATAAATAACTCATTAAAATGGCCTTTTTGCCTTATTTGACGCGCCGCCGCCGCCGGTTCTTTCTGACTACTACGCCGCCGCCGCCGAGTCATTTTGACCTCTACGCCGCCGCCGATGCCTTTAACCATCGGCGTAAACCTCTAATACAGTTTATAGGGTCGAACATGAATTTACTGGTCATAGTTTAAAACACAAGTAAATAATACTTCTGGGTTTCAAAGGAAACGGGTCCATTTCATCGGAAACACTTTTTTTAATTTTAAAAAATTCAAATTTTAGCTCCCTTTTAAAAACGCTTTGTAGCCCTGAAAAGGGCTTTTATTTAATTGCATATGGGCATTTCCATAATGTCGCACGTAACCCCCGTGTTAAGCGAGGGCCAGGTGTACAAGAAAATAATTGTAAGAATCCTCTGCATTTGCAGGCATTAATCCTTAAAATATTCTATATATAGTCCAAGTAGTTTCCAAGTAGCATGATTTTAAGGGTTAAAAAACCCCCTTAGAAGGATGATTTTTTTATTTACTTTATTATTTAGGAATTTTAGATACACATATTTTCTCTGGGTAGAAAATAGCCTTAAAAACCTCAAGTTTTAAAAACTTATTAGCTGCCAAAAGTAAAAGAAAAACATTTTACTTGGTGACAATAATATAAAAATTTCAGTTTTGAGGTTCAAATGAAGGGGAAAAATTGAATTAAAATTGGATTATTGGTTAAAATTAAGGTACTTTTAAGGTAAGGTAGAGGCTAGAGTTATGTGATCGTGTTTGAATTGAATTTGATTGAATGTGGGTGGCAACTGTACCTCTCTAACTATATACTTTTGGGCAGCTAAGCTTTCTCATTACATTTACCTATTTAATTCTCATTTGACTTAATCGTAATCTCTATTATCTCCGCCTATAATTGTGTATACACCTGGCCCTCGCTTAACACGGGGGTTACGTTCCTAGAAAACCTCGTGTTAAGCGAAACATGGATTCAGTACAAAATAAGGGGTTACGTTCTAAAAATTCAAAATTGACAGCAAAAAAAAATTTTTATTGTTCAAATTTGGTATGTTTTTATTAAAGTTTCATACATTTGTTCAAAATTAACCAAAAGTTATTATGTATATGCCTTTAATAAAAGCATACCATTCATATTTTCAAACTTAAAAGTTAGTATTTAATTAAAAAAGTTGCTTCTTATAATTAATTAATAGGTTAAACTTTATAGAAACTAAAAAATGTTAAAAAGTAAGGAGATCATATGTTTTAATCATATCATAATTCATAATTTTAATTCATAGTTGATAACTAAAAATTCATAATTCATAATATGAAATGCATTTGGTGGCATTTATAGTTAAAGCCATGGTTTCTTTTTGGTGGCTCCTTGTAAAAATCAGTAATTTTTGATTGTTTCGATATTTTGCAATCGTTTAAGAACGAGGTTTTTAGCGTGTTAAAAGGGGGATGGGAGCAAATTTGAAACCGTGTAAGACCGAGTTCGTGCTAAAAGAGTTCGTGTTAAGCGAGGGCCAAGTGTAATGTTTGAAAGTTTCAACACTCCGGGTATGTACATCGCTAGTCACGTTGTGGCGAATAACCTCCCGTACGCCTCCTTTCGTACCACCGGTTTATTTATGGACCAACATAAATGAAAAATTGATTTAAAGGAGCCTACGAATAAGGACTAAAAAACCTTAATAAAAAACGAAATAAAAATAAACAAGAAGCTAAACAAAAATGAAGGACTCTTGTTGAAGGCTTAAACTGTTGTGTATAAAAATAAGGAAATGTACAAAAAAAAAAAAAAACTAAATAAAACCGAAAATAAATTAAAAGGTAGGAAGCAGGAAAAGTTCCTTTCAATGCGCCTCCTGGAGAAAGACTGAATTAAGTAAGTTGCTAGTGTTACCAAAGAAAGCTGTCAGATATCTAGAGCAGTGATGTCATTTCCGCTTTTTTCCCGTCAAATTCAGCTGTTTTTGAAGTGTGATTGCGGGAAAATTTGTAAAACAGCGGGTAGCGGGAATTCCAGCTTTTTTAGAAAATTGAGATGCTTTTTTCTTAATTTTAATTTTAATACATTTTAAGTGCTGTTTTAAATGTGTTTATTGTTTTTAATTTATATTGCAACAGTATCTATATATACTTATATCGAATAACATCATCCAAAAGTCCACACCTATATTTGGCGCGTCTTCCATGCAGTGATGTCATTTTTTTTTAGCAAAAAAAGCTGGATTAACAAAAAAAAAGCTGAAAAAAGCGGAATTCAATAAAGAAAAAACTAAGTAAAAAGCTGATTTTTTAAAAACCATATTTTGTTTGTTTAGGCCTAATCTGACGACGAAAATCCGCTGTAACAATTGTGATAGCGGCCAAACACCATATAAAAAAACTCTGTGAAAAAAGGAAGAAAAAAAACTTTTTGCCTCGTCGATTTTGCCGGTACTCTGATGACGAAAATGATACCTGCGAAAATTGAATGGCGTTGTAACACATGTTACAGCGGATTTTCGTCGTCAGAGTACTAGCCTAGTACTACAAGGCTTTAATTTGGCTGAAAACCCGAAAAACCTCGGCATTTGACCAGGGAAGGGTCAGCGTTTCTAACGCAACTAATGCCTGTCCCTTAAAACGTTTCCGCCACTGTCCTTGTAAGTTAGCACTTCATTCCAAAAGCTAACAGTGTCGTCGACATTTTGCATTGGGATTAGTTTTATGTCATCATAATGCCGTAACGGCATCATGGAAGACGCGCCAAATATAGGTGTGGACTTTTGGATGATGTTATTCGATATAAGTATATATAGATACTGTTGCAATATAAATTAAAAACAATAAACACATTTAAAACAGCACTTAAAATGTATTAAAATTAAAATTAAGAAAAAAGCATCTCAATTTTCTAAAAAAGCTGGAATTCCCGCTACCCGCTGTTTTACAAATTTTCCCGCAATCACACTTCAAAAACAGCTGAATTTGACGGGAAAAAAGCGGAAATGACATCACTGCTCTAGATATCTGACAGCTTTCTTTGGTAACACTAGCAACTTACTTAATTCAGTCTTTCTCCAGGAGGCGCATTGAAAGGAACTTTTCCTGCTTCCTACCTTTTAATTTATTTTCGGTTTTATTTAGTTTTTTTTTTTTTTTTTTTACATTTCCTTATTTTTATACACAACAGTTTAAGCCTTCAACAAGAGTCCTTCATTTTTGTTTAGCTTCTTGTTTATTTTTATTTCGTTTTTTATTAAGGTTTTTTAGTCCTTATTCGTAGGCTCCTTTAAATCAATTTTTCATTTATGTTGGTCCATAAATAAACCGGTGGTACGAAAGGAGGCGTACGGGAGGTTATTCGCCACAACGTGACTAGCGATGTACATACCCGGAGTGTTGAAACTTTCAAACATTACACTTGGCCCTCGCTTAACACGAACTCTTTTAGCACGAACTCGGTCTTACACGGTTTCAAATTTGCTCCCATCCCCCTTTTAACACGCTAAAAACCTCGTTCTTAAACGATTGCAAAATATCGAAACAATCAAAAATTACTGATTTTTACAAGGAGCCACCAAAAAAGAAACCATGTTAAAACAAACTGGCTTTAACTATAAATGCCACCAAATGCATTTCATATTATGAATTATGAATTTTTAGTTATCAACTATGAATTAAAATTATGAATTAAAATTATGAATTATGAAGTAAAATTATGAACTATGAATTCAAATTATGAATTATGATATGAATAAAACATATGATCTCCTTACTTTTTAACATTTTTTAGTTTCTATAAAGTTTAACCTATTAATTAATTATAAGAAGCAACTTTTTTAATTAAATACCAACTTTTAAGTTTGAAAATATGAATGGTATGCTTTTATTAAAGGCATATACATAATAACTTTTGGTTAATTTTGAACAAATGTATGAAACTTTAATAAAAACATACCAAATTTGAACAATAAAAAATTTTTTTTTGCTGTCAATTTTGAATTTTTAGAACGTAACCCCTTATTTTGTACTGAATCCATGTTTCGCTTAACACGATTTCGCTTAACACGAGGTTTTCTAGGAACGTAACCCCCGTGTTAAGCGAGGGCCAGGTGTATATTCTTGATCAGCATCAACAGCCGAGTCGATCTAGCCATCTCCGTCTGTCCGTCCGTCTGTCCGTTTCTACGCAAACTAGTCCCTCAGTTTTAAAGCTATCTGAATGAAACTTTGCATATAGACTTCTATATACTCTCACTGCTATATATGTCGGAACGGGCCGAATCGGACGACTATATCTCATATAGCTGCCATACAAATGTTCGATAAATTTTTTGAAAAAAAATTATAACTTGGCTGTTTTTCAACATTCAAGGGAATTACCCTGATAATTTTTTTTTTAAATATCGATAGTGCGATGAAACCGATGTTCTGAAAAATAGTTTCATCGATAGTATTTGGCCAGCACTAGCTGTCGCGCGTCCCCATTGCCGCCATTTAAAATAAACGTAAGAAACGCCAGCCAGTCCCACGGAAAGTGTATATAATTGTGTAAATATTAAAAACATATTGCAGATCGTGCAACATGGAGGACGTAATGGGCGTACTTGGTTCGCTGTCGGACCTGCAGCGCGAATTGGAGGTGCTGCGTCAAGTAAGTCTCCGCATCCCGCAGCTGCTTTTCCCCGCATCCCGCAGCCGCTTTTTCAACATAGCGTCCCTTTTTCAGGCCCATTTCCAGGAGCTGGACCAGCTTTTTTACGGCCTGGGCTCCACGTCTGTGAGCCATGACGCGGAGGCCACTGCAGAGGAGAGTGTCCCAACAGCCAGGAGCGGAGGATCCTCGGTGACACCGCAGCAAACCAAGAAGCGCGCCAAGCGACTCTCCTCTCTGGTCGAGGACAAGGACGAGCTCGAGGGTGAGTATCATCCCGGAGTCGGAACGGACGCTGAGACCAGTACTGACTTCCGACAATCGTCAGCCAACTCGTCAACTCGACAGAGCACTCGGGTCAACAACTCCCAGCTGCTGGCCATCGCCGAGGGCAACCTGAATACTACGGCCTCCCTAATGCCACCGCCGCCTGTACCGGCTGTGACAGACATCACCTTAAACTCTGGTCGGCCACAGCGCGCCGCCAAGCTGAAGTCCGAGAAATTGCTCAAAGAGCCTTCGCTCAACCGCAAAATGCGCCGCCCCAGCCAGGAGGAGAGCATCCGCGTCAAGGTGGAGAGCGAGCAACGGCCATCGCAGTTCAACAGCTCCACCAGCAGACAGGCCAACGCGGAAAAGGTGCCACAGCAGCAGCCAGAGCAGGATTCTGTACTTCCCGCTCCAAAAGAGACGGAACCCGTAACCGATCAGCCGCCGGAGGATATAAATACCTCGAAGAACCTGATCGTGAAGATCAAGCGCGAGAAAATGAGTAGCGAGAGCTTGGCCCCAGCCACTGAAGTCACTGCCTCCTCCACTGTCATTCTGGAGGCTACGCAGGCTGCCCGGCCGAATGAAACGGTTTCCAGCAATACGACAGCCACAACAGAGCCCGGCAAAAAGTTGCGCAAGAAGAAGAAGGACCTCGCCGAGTGTCATAAGCCCATTAAGATCGAGCGCTTCAGCGATCTGGACAAGGATTCGCCGGTGTCCTCACGCACGCGCAAGGGCAGCACAGAGTCGCGTGCTAACCAGGAACATTCCATCTACACGGATGCACTAGAAGGACCGCCATCAGCCGAGACAGTGGCGCCAAGTAACGCCACCATGGTTATTGGTCCTGCCCCCACCACGGACGACAGCCCACGTGGACCGGCTGCGGATGCCACCTTTGAGGTGCCTCCCGAAAACAAGAAGGCGCCGACTAAACAGGACAGCCTCCTTACCGAGGATGAGTCGCTGGAGGACAAACTGCCCGTGGCCAAGACACTCTCGAACATCAAGGCGATGAAGTTGCCGGCTCGCGCCCACGAGCTCTTTAAGTAAGTAGCCTGGATCTGTGCTTAAACATTCGTTAACATTTTTCTGTTCCCGCCGCAGTCCGCTACTGCAGAGTCCCGTGAAGATGCGCGTGGAGGCATTCGAGAACGCTGCTCAAGCGCAGACCAATCTGCGTCCCAAGCGGACTAAGGATGTGGTAGGTTGCCTGCCTGCTTAGTGCATTCTTGCTTTTAACCAGTTCTCTCTCTCTCACCTCTAGCAGGGAACGCCGGGATCCAGCATTACGCCCAAGGTAGGCAGACTGCCACCTCCGGTGGTGGGGCGCTTCTACACGCCTACACAGACGAGCAGCATGCTGCCGGCGAGCTCGGCGATGCCCAAGAAGGCACCGGCTAGTGCCTCCAAGGCTACAACGCTGATGAAGACGGCAACCGGGACAAACCTTAAGTCCACCAACTCGAGCTCCACCAAGTCGCTGGTGCGCGAAAACAGCGGCGACGACTTCCGCAAGGGACTGCACAATCTGGCTGAGGAGCGCAAGAAGATGCGCGAACTAAAGCATCAGCAGGCCGCCCAGCAACGCGAGGCCAAGGATCGGGAGCGGGCTGAGCGCATGGCCAAATTAACCGCTGAGCGCGCCAAGAAACAGGAGGAACGCAAGCGTATAGAGGAGCGCAAGCGTCAGGAGACTGAGGAGCAGCTGCGCAAGATGCGCCAGCAGGAGGAGGCCGAGGCCCTCAAGAAGGCAAAGTTGAAGGAGCTGGAGCAGCAGAAGTTGCAGCAACTGACCGGGGCAAAGGCCAAGAAGATGTTGCCGCCGCCGCCGAAAACGAAGTACACTTGGGAGATGCTTCACGAGGATGACTCAACAGACGACGAAGGCAAGGTCACCCACAAACGGCCACCTGCGCCCACCTGGAGTCGCAGTAAGTTTGCAGGACCACTTACCTTTTGCTTTTAGCTTATTTTAATTTTAACTTTGCTTTTTTTGTTCCTAGGTCATGTGCGGGGAGACGCGATTCTCATGCAGAGCCACGTCCCCACCGAAATCATCGACAGTTTCTTCTCGGTGGCGCCCACCACTCCGGACCTGAAGGAGATATTCCCGAACATCGATCCCAGCCTGCTGAGGCGGAACTCCAGCGTACTGTGGTCTACACCGCCGCGCTACTCCGAGCTGCCGAAATACTAGCCCAGTAGTTCTGTTTTTCATTATCGTAATCGTACATCTTTATTATTGAATAAATAAAGTTAATTGTCAAAATTATAGCGGAGTACCGCTGTCCGACTCACCGCGGACCTGACACTAATACCCAGGTGCTTAAGAACTATTAAAGCCGCCAGCGTGCTCAATCAATGGTTCGCTGGTGGCCGCTTGCTGATTCCATTAGCGCTGCTGCCCAACAATGAAGACGCCGAGACGTCGATTCGTGAAAAGTGTGAAAACGCAGAGGCAAACTCAATTTCACTGGTCATGGGGCATGGTTTTGTGGCATGATAAGCATACGCGATCGGGCTCTGTTCGTTTCTCCTTCGTTGTTTCGTTGCTTTTGCCATTGGAAATGCATTTGCAGAGGAGTTTTCCTTCAATACATTCTCATTATACCGAAGTTAACTTCCTTTCTTGTTTTCATTTAAGATTAAGGTACTCACCAATTCCTTCTGATTATAATGGTGTTGATCCATTAAGGATCTTAATTTGCGATCGAACACATCAAGGGGATCGAATTTGAAATCGATTATAACTAGGCCAAATTCGGAAAGCTTTTCAGTGTTGACTTTAAATCAGATGTCATACATATTATATTAAAAACAATTATCTTCCGTGCAGCTAATTAAATTGTAAGAAATTCATAACCTTGGGCTCAAATTTTAGATTACTGTTCCATTTTGGCTTTGGTATTGCTAGCTTATGTATATTTTAAAAGTTTCTTGGCCTGATTACATTGAAATAAGAAGTTACGGGGAAATAAGTAAAATAAATAAATCTACTAAAATACGATAATTAGTTTTCTTTCAATTTAAGACATACAAAAATCAGCGTGATATTACGAAAGTGTTATTCTTAAATTGCGCATATGTATGTACCTTCAAACCTTCAAGGTGGCAAAATGTATGGATTATAGAGACTTCTCCTCAAAATTTGAATATGATATTTTTTAGGCAAATCAAAACTTTTACTAAGCCATAAAAACATTAATTTCAATTCGGAAATACTAAAAAAATTAAAAAAAAAGTTTTTTTAATATATGGAAATAGAGTTTTATAGAGTTCAAGGCTAGGGTACTGATCAAGAATACTATGATTTATGGTGTCCCAAATGACTTCTTTACAGCGTTGGAAACCAAATTAAAATTTTATTAACCTTTGCAAGGGTATAAAAGTTAAAAATGTAACATGTTATGTTAAAGCATTATAGAAAAGATATTACACGTTAAGGTAAGAGCGTCGATATGGTTTTACAGCTTGGCTGGTCAGTATAATTTACAATTTCTAATCATATTTAACATTGTTAAAGTCCTTTGAATATGTAAAATATTTGAAAAATAATAATTTCTAGGTTTTGCAGTTCACATTAAAATATTTATATTTAAATCATGTTTGTATTATGAATGTAATGGAGACTTAATCACTCTGAGCCTTCAATGGTTATCACAAATATACATATACATAAGTTCTTAAGGGGTAGAAAAGCCTCTTGCTGAACCCGACTCTCCCCAAGCACTGGGTATTAACGCTGGCTGGCGAATCCACCATACCCGAAGAGCGGCCAAGCCAAGATTGCAGCTCCGGTTTCTCGTTTCTTCGGCTCGCTGCCGAGTCTTCGGGCCCAGCTCAGTCAGTCTGAGTCGAGCGTTCGATCGTGGCGCACCTGTTGACGGTTTTCTGGTAGGTGAGCGCGGATCTGTGGATTCCGGACGGGACAGCGGGAAGAGCGGAGCTTGAAGATTGCAGATTGAAGAAGCCACTGCCGGGCCAGTTGCTGTGCGTTCGCGTCTATGAAAAGTGAATAACTAAGCCGGGCCCAAAGCCAGCGCTGCCTGCGTGAGAGTGTGAGTGCGAGTGATGGAAAAGAGTCTCTTTCTCGAAATGAAGCAAACGGCGAATATGTAAACGTATAACGAATAAATGATATTTGTGCGGTGTGTGCGATGTGTGTGTAGAAAAGCAAAAAAATATATACGAGCCCCGCGGCAGCAGCAGCAGCAGCAGCAACAAAAACATCAAAAACTTTCTTTTTTTCGCGCTACCTTTGTGCCTCGGTGCCTGGAAGTTTGTTAGTTTTGTCCGCGTCTGTGTCTGTCTCCGTGTCCGCGGCTTTTGTTTACGGTTGCTGTGAAATCTGTTGCAAATTCATAATTTGTCCGCCGTTTCACTCCCAATTAAAAAGCCACTCGGGCCCAGGAGGATGATGGTGATGGGAATTAATTAAGATCTAAGAGAGCGGGGACCAGGCCGGATGCTCAACCCGTCCGGCGGCCTACACATGTCCGCAGACTGCAATTCGATCCGCTAAATGGCTCTGAGCGAAGACCAAGAGCAGGTCCCAGTCCATGTCCCGTCTCCCGTGTCCCGTTCCAGCACTGGATACTGTTAGTTGTGCCATTTCGAGCGCACTTGTGCCAATTTTCCAGGCAACAGCTGCCTGGGCCTGTCGCTGGATTTTAGCTTTTCGATAATTTAGAGTTTTACATTCCTCCGAGCCGCAAAACCGCATTTCCACTCGAGGTCCGAGCTGGCTTTGGGTTGGCGCGATCTTCAATTTGGTTTTGCCTCGTCGTTTTATATATATATTATTTTTTTTTCTGTTTTGTTGATTTCCCCCTAACTGGTGAAATTTTTCATTATTGGCGTTATTTATGTGCAAAATCTAATTGAAAATAACGTGCAGCTGAGAAGCACGCAAAAACATCAATCAAAAGATGCCTGATTATGGAAAGCGCTTTGAGGCGAGTCTGAAAAGGAAAAACCAGACATCAGAAGAAGCTCATTTTGTTTATTTTAAGAGGAAATTTCGAAGATTATAGGTACTTAACATAAGGATGTTTCTCAGCCTTTTCACTTTAGTCGTATGAACAAGCAACTTGAAATACTGACAGTCGTTAAGATCGTGGCTTATGCAATTTTGGGTCTCTTATGTATCGTTTCCTTCTCTCGGTCAATATATCACAGCTCCCCTGTATCCTCACCTTTGTTGACCTCCTCTCTTCCTCTTCAGACGCTTTTGCCGGCCAAGAGAATGGTTACGCAACAGAGGGAGCTCCGAAAAAATGGCTTATAAAAATCACATGAGTCATTTAACCAAAGAAGACGAAGAGAAATAACAACTAATTACCTGCTGCAACTTCCGCCGAGCTGGCGTTGGAAAGAAAGCACGTCCGTCCGATAATAAAGCCAAAACTATTTGAACGAAAATGTAAACAAGCGGCAGCGTGGGCGAGTCGCTCATTGGAAAGAAACAACACCAGCAAGTCGCTGAAAAATGGAGTCATTTAATGACAGCCCAGAAAGCAGCAGAAAGACAACTCGCCCACGAAGAAGACTGGGCCTGTGGCTCACGTTCAACTTTCTATTTCACTGGGATTCTTCAAGCGTGCAGCGGAGATTTCAAGGTTCCTCCCGGGTCTGAGTTGACTGAGGCCAGTGAGCTACCAAAATCAGCCCTGGACATCATGACTCAACTGCAGTCCGATCCGGCTCTGAGATCACACACACACACACACTCAAGCTGCGGTGGCAACCTTTGCCTTTCCTTTCCATTTGCCACCGCGGCTGCTCTGGATGCTTTCACTTTCCATCTAATGCCTGGCAATTGCTTCAGTTGCCGCTGACTTACAGTCCGGATCGCCGACCTGTTTGGGCTTCTGATTAGCACGAAGGGCACTCGGGCATTGGGTACACAGAAAAAAAAATCCGGGATAAAGTCGCCAAAATCAATCCCAAGTGGGTATGATTTCGAGCTAAGGTCGGATTTTCTTAATATAAGAACGAACATACTTAATTTTTTCAATCTCGAAAATTCTTGATTCAATCCCGCTAACCTTAAAAATTTCAATACCAATTTTTCTTAATTTAATCTCAAACATTCTTAAATTTTAATTTAAAAATTTAAATTTAAATTTAATTAAAAAAAAAAAATTTTTTTTTCTCGGCTTTGTCCCCGAAATTCTTAATTATTTTAATCCCAAAAATCCTTGATTTAATCCCTCTAAAGTTCTTAGTGAGAAGTGAAAGAAGTTTTTATTTAAATCTGTAATTATAAAGCTACAAATGGTTATTAAATGAATTATATTAATGTATAAATCTTATTAAAAGCCACTTAAACTTACTTTTCCTAGTTCTCGGTCGGGATTCGAACCCATGTCTCAGAAATCACAGACCGTCCGCTTACCAACTGGGCCACTGAGTCAAATCAAAAGCCAAAATGAGATTAATTCAAGAATTCTTACGCTCATTTTGTCATTTTAATCCCGAAACGCGATTGATTCAAGAATTTTTAGGCTTAATTGGTAATTTTAATCCCGAAACGGGATTGATTCAAGAATTTTTAGGCTTAATTTGTCATTTAATCCCGAAACGGGATTAACTCGACTGTCTAACCCCGAATCGTACTTAAAAATTTTAATCCACCACATCGAAAAAATCAAGAAAAATATTCTTGATTTTTTCGTTCTACCATTTTTTCTGTGTAATCCCGAGCAGCTCCGATGGATTAGCGATCTCCGATCGATCTGCTCCAGATGATAAGCGCTTGTTTTTGCCTTGAAATTTCACTTTTGCTTTCTGACACCTCAAATTGTGCTGCGACTTTCGCTGAGCGTATGGGACATCAATCAAAATTAGCATTTCAATCAGCAGAGTTCAGTTAGTCGCTTGAATGGACTTTACGCAACTTGGGGAACTAACAACAGACCCAATAGGGCCCAAAGGGTTTCCGAAAGTGTTTTCTTTCCGAGCCGTTTAGATACCTGGGTTTACTGATACTTACCTGCTGCCGGTTATGTAAATGCTAATGCAGTGTACTGCGGGTTAATGGGGCTCTGGCCTATGGCCGACTAACGTAATGTCCATAGCGATAGCATTTTGCACAACAAACTTGCCAAAGACAAAAGACTCAGGGCACAAACTTCAGGATTTATGACAGACAGCCGCTGGCACAATTCCTGACCACCTTTCTTCATCTTTTCAGCATAAATCTAGGCGCTCAAAGGCCAAACATGCCTCGCCCAAGTGCGGTTCATCAATAAAAACAACAAAATAGTGAAA